CTTTATATTTTTATTCTTCTGTCTGTCAGTTTAAAATAATCCAGTAGCTGAAGAAGAGCAGATGATGTTTAATCAGAAGGAAATGTCTCTTTTCTGGACACCTGAAGCATCCCAGTTCATTTTGTTTTCGGCTGCAGTACCGAGCGGTGGCCACTAGATGGCCCTGTTCATCTTCTCTGACTCAGGATTCAAAGCTTTGACTCATCGATTGTATTGACTGTATTGATGATGAACTTTTCTCATCATCAGTCTTCAGCCATGTTGGAGGATTTCAGAGCAGATTGAAACAGTTTCATCTCTAATAATTAGAAGTTTTCCATCTCCACAAATGTCACCTTTATGTTTTATTCATACATTTTAAAGTTTTTTATTAAAGTATATTAATTCCCAGAGGTGGAAATCAGATGATTTTTCCATCTGTCGGCTTTGATTGATTATTGACAGGCTGATACTGTAATTAATCCACTAATTACCATCATAAGTATCAAGTATAAGTACCTTGAAGTATCATAAGATTCTGGAAAAGCGGAAAAATTATCAGGAAAATGTGACTGTATGCTTGATGGAAAGAACTTGTTTTAGTTTTCAACATATTGAAAATCTGATGAAACAGAAAAAACACAAAATAAATAATAAAATTCATGTTTTGTAACATTTCTGTGAACTATTTAGAAAATATTACTAAACATGATCAACTGATTTTAATAATTGATCACAAGGAGACATTTTTCTGGATAGTTTTTATAACTTTTTTATTTAATTTTTATTAAAACATCGACCACCAGAGAGAGACACCAGTCCCACTCATTCATTCATTCATTCATTCATTCATGGAACAAAACATCTAAATACATTCTTGATAACACTGAGGTCTGTTTTCTTTTAGTTTAGTGTCTAAACTCTGATTATCTGTGAAATATTTCAAACAATTATTTTGTGACAAGAACTTAATAGAAAAGCAAATTTATGTGCCTCAGTTAAAAAATTTGCAAATGTTGAACTGGACTCCTGAACTTTACTGGATACAACTGTATAAGAAAATATTTTTAAAAATCTCCTTTTTTATTTCCCATTAAATTTCATGTATATTCAAAATGCCTGTAAACTGAAAACATGGTGTAAGTCATAATCCTTGTTTGTGTGAAAAATGTGAACCAGGAAGCTGAGTTTGCAGACAAACATGAAGATTTCAGTCTAGAACGTAATGGAGACCCAGACTGAATACATGACTGCTTCCTTTCAAGATGAAGCGATTAACCAGCAAACATGATTCAAACACAAGATTTATTCACAAGCAGGAAGTAGTTTCTTCCATAATCTCCTTCCTGGAGCAAATGACTGGAGGTACAGAGGAAAATCTTCCCAAAAGTTTCCAACTTGAAACAAAGCAGTTTAATTTGAGATCAATGAGGAAATAGCCAAGTTAAAACCAGTGAGGGAACTTCAAATGCTTTCATTTCCAACTCATAATTAAATTACGAGTTGTCAATGAAGTCAGTGGCAGTAAATTCTCTGATCACGTGTTCGATTATTAACAATGAAAGAATGTAAATCTTTGATGTTCTAGTAAAACCGGGATTGTTTACTACATTGAAGCCAATTAGAAAACACCTGCAGTCATTTTTAGATTGTAGGTTATTTTTAGATTGTAGATTATTCCCCTGACCAGGATTAGTTTATACATTTTATATCTGTTCAGAGAAACTAGACCTTTCCTGGTTCAGGAAACAATGAACAGGAAAAAACATGATGTCATTAAGTATCATAGTGGGAGGAAATGAATTAAAGGAAGCTAACAGGAATTAATGCTGATGGACAAGGAGGTAAAATACAGGAATAAATGGAGAGAAAGTGTAACAGGAACAGGAGGGAGAGGAGAGAGCAGCAGGGAACCAGAGGGGCTAATCAGAGGGAAGTAGATGCAGCTGAAAGAAACAAGCAAAGATGAGAAAATTCAAACAAAAAGAAAGAAACACTGATCCTGGAAAACGAGTCCAAAAATAAACAATGAGAATACATGCAGAACCGCAGGAATAAACTAAAAATATGAGTAACAATAAAGCAAAAAACAGGAACAAACAAAAACCAAAGTTATAACATGTAAAGATCGCAGCGCATTTATCTTTTCAAACTCCATTTAAAACAGGATTTGTGGATTTATTGAACATTTTGGACTCATTCATTCATCATCATGTTGTAAAAATGTTGGAGATGAGATAAATATAGGAAGGGAAATGTTAGAGAAGTCTCTGATTTTTGTTGATTACTAAATTACCAGTATATATATAACATTTTAGAAGTTGCTCTCATGAGTAAATGCTTACATAAGCAGTTCAAAAGGTGAAAGCAGGTCACATGAAATCATTCAGTCTCTGTTTTCTGCTGATAATCATGAGCTAAAAATAGAACTGGAGAAACCAGTTTGTGTAGCAGCTAATGGAAAATCAGCAGAAGAAAACGCTGACGAATGAAACCAGAAACATTATGATTTTAAATACACAGTCAGCAACACATGAAGCTTTGACTTTTGGAGCTGATTTTGTTTCTGGAGGAGGATATTTTACTCCCTACAGTTCAAATGTTGAGTCCCTTTGGTTTCTGTTAAACCTTTTCATCTTAACCTTTATCATCTTAAACTTTATCATCTTGACCTTTGTCCCATTCAGCTTTTAGATTTTTCAGTTTGCTGGATTTATCTGTCATTTGTTTCATCCTTTGCTTTTCTTCTACAAATGCAAAAGGAGCAAAGTCACAAGAGAAAACACATTGAATCTCATGTAATGGTGGATAAAACAGTTTGTTAATAAACGGTGAAAGAATGTAACTTATTAACATAAGTTTCCTCAGACGCTAAAAACCCCTAAAAGCTTCACTGAGCCTCTGCAGCAGCAGGTTCAGTTCAGTTCAAAGTTCAACTTGCCTCCAGTTTCAGGTCAGGATGGTTCATAATGGGTTGAGTCTCAGATCTCACCAAAGCAGTGAAATGTGTGTGAAATGTCAAACATTAACAGTTTATATGAGAGGGAACAATTTGATCACAAATAACTTGTTTAGAAATTGAATATTATCTTTCATGAAGGTTTGTTTTTTCTTCCTGCCCTCAGATGAGGATTCAGCTTCAGCAACATAAACTACAAGTGAAACTAGTAAATCTGCACGTGAGCCAATAAATGGCAGAAGGATGATTTATGATGCTAAAAATAACCCTCTCTTGTCATTTAGTTAATCAAAGCCGCTTTGATTAGGAGACAGAGAAGATCTTTGTTTTGAAACTGCAAATCAGTGACTATATTATCTCTGAGGGAAACAGATAAGAGTTTCTGTTACAGGAAGAAATTAATGTTGATCTAAATCTGCTCTTTGGGTTTAACATTTTCATCTGTGCTTCGAAATAAAATGGTGTGAAACTGCAAATAAAACTAAATGTAGCAAGAAATTCAGTTTTATTGTTAAATTAAAATATCCAATTATGTTTTTATTTTATGAGTTTAGAATAACAAACAGCAAATGGGGAACCGACATTATTTAGCATAATTAGAAAAAACTGAGGGAGATCGTTAATATTTATGCAAAATGAAGAGAAGAAACCTCCTTAAAAAATTAACTAAAATAAGCTGCAGGTCAATAAGATGAAAAAAACTGAAATTCAAAGCTAAATGCTAAAACTATTATTTTCTGTTCTGATTTTCAGTTTCTTTAAATAACTTCAAAACTCAACAATTTCTCTATTTTACAAGGTGAAAGGTCACAAAACAGAGGAACATTTTAGGTCAAACCTCTTCATGGTGAAATACATGAAACTTTACTTTAGTGTATGAATTTAGGAGAAAATGGTGTAAAAATCTACAGTTACAAAAATGTGAGGTAATTTTAAGATTGCCTAACATCCACCGATGTTGGAGCATTTTAATGACACAAAGTTTATAAAAGCAACCATCTGCCTGTTTTTTCCAGCCTGTTTGATTATAAAACAAATATATTTTGTGATCCTGACAGAGAAACATCAGAACCATGAGGTAATTTGTTCAGTGTTTGGGTTCCTGTTTGGGTTCCTGCTACTTCAAGATCCAAATGAAATTTGCAAGCAATCAGAATCAAAAGAGCATCTTCCAAACTCCTAAAGAATAAATAAGATGCAAATATATTTTATAACTGAATTGACGATTTCCTTCTGAGACTTAGTAATGCTATTAGAAACTGTTACATTAATAGTAATAGTTTGGTAAATGACCAGACTAAATTTACTGAAAATAATGAGTTAAAAATTCTTTATGGTATTTTTTTTTTTGATAACAGATGGTGTGTCAGAGTTACTGTAACTTTTAGAAACTATTCTGGAACGGTTCAGTTTTGGTAAAACTATTTAATCTCTTTCCTGTGGGTGAAACTGAGCCTCCTGTGTCCATCTGCAGTCAGAAGTTTCTGTATTTAAATTATGTGGCTCAAAGAGTTTCAGCAGAGAAAACAAATGAGTTCTGGGTTCTGCAGCTGCTGGTTTTCTTTGAGACGTTTCTGTGTTTGTAAGTACTTATTCTTAAACAGTATTACAGAAGTGATGTTCTTAACGCCGGCGTTCCACAGGGGCGTGTATCCGGCCCCCAGCTCTACAGCTTCATCACGCACTGCAAAACTGATCTGATCAGTCAAACTAGCGAAGCACGCTACAATCACATCTAAACCAGAAAACAGAAACTAAGACACCAAACTCCACCTGGGAAACTCTTAGTTTCTCTGAAGCTGTCTGAGAGTTCAAAGGAAGATTTCACTTCACCATTATGTATGAGGATGGATATGAAGGAAACATGTTGGTTCAAAAGGGTTCGAAGTGAAAATCAACCAAACCCAACCTAACCAATAAGATGCAGGACACTCATAAAATAATAATAAACATTTATGGTGAAATTAAGACTCAAAAATGAAATATATTCAAATGTAAAGCAAAGCAATTCAATAAAAAGTTCAATACTTTCATAGCACCAGTATCTATGCAATACAAAGTGGTAACAAAAAGATGCTAAACAACTGAAAGGACAGTTAGGCTTTAATATATTGAATAAAAAAATTAAAGTTAGGCTTTAATATATTGAATAAAAAAATTAAAGTTAGGCTTTAATGTATTGGATAAAATCACAAACTGGCCCAAAAAGTGGGGAGAAGTACCAGAAAAATCCATCAGGACTTATGTTTACACTGAACTTCTAAGCATCAAAATAACATGTGAAAATGTAAAGTTTTGTAACATTTAATGACCATTGAATAATATACACACCCCATTATTATGAATGCTTTGTGTTTCTGGACGCACAGCAGGGAGCCCGGTCTGCATGACGCTGGTTCTCACGTTATCAGCAACTCTCTGGTATCACTGTGGAATAGACGGTCGGGACAGAACCTGCATCTGGGGAAAAGCAAAGAGAGACGAGATAGAAACTGTCTTCACGGTAAATGAGTCCTATTTACATAAATGATGCTAAAGTTAACAGATAAGGTCTTGAGGCTTTCAGGGGATTTCTGCTCTGTAGATGTGCAGTTTTATTAATCATATTTTCTAATTATGAATCTCCTGAGGAAGTGCAGAGAGTTTGGTCAGTCTTTCTAAATGTCGCTGTGCTAAAGGTCAGCTATGCTAGCTTGACTATGACAACTGTAAGATGTAGATGTGATGTGGAATTGCTTTGGTTCAGTTAACACAGACCTAAACACCAACTCTCTGAGATCATCAGGGGTTTAAATTAGCTAATCAGCCACCACAGTGTTAGCTTAGCTAATAGCAGTGGTAGCTAATCTACCACAGCTATCACTTGTTAATAATCGCAAAGGCCTAAAAACATAAAACTGTAACAGACTGAATGTTCTGTTCTTTGCGTGGGAAATGTTTGAGTGTTTTCTGGTGTTAAATCCTGAAACATAAAGTGTTATTGTTGTCAGTTGTTAAGACAACTAGTCTGCTTGTAACAGTTTAGATTTTCTTTAAAGGTTTTTCTGCATTAGTTTTTCCTTCGCTGTGGCGCACTGCACTAAATTAATAACAATATCTTCATCTCCAGGTTTCCTTCAGCTAATGGAGTTATTCTCCGGCGGTTAAAGAGGAAAAGAATCGTCTTTTTGCCCTCCAGCATTGTGCACATGTGCAAAGTTTCTAAATGTGAACAGTAACATGCACAGGGTCTGTACTGTGTGCACCATCCATCTAAACCACATGATCTCTCTAAAACCAGACGCTTCCACTCAGGTTAATCATTTCTAATCCACAAATTTATCTAAAGGTTTATTTCAAATCTTATTAAGAAAATAATCAGTTGCAATAATGGTTATTTGACCTGCTTTATTTGTTGCTGTACTTCATGCCGCTTGTTGTAGGAACTGTTACCAGGGTGATGGACACGCCTCTTGTCATCATAGTTATGTTCTTCCTGTTTTATGAACGTCAACAAAGGCGTGCTGTCTGCGTGGGATGACGGAATGAAGGGAACTGAGCTTTGGAAACTGAATCAAAGTTCAGTTTGTAAACCATGTCAGAGGTGACCTCCTCTGACGGCTGTGATGCATTCAGGGACTGTTTGTTCATCTCAGTGTTTCCAGAGAGCGAATGTCGACTCACCAGTGATTCTCTGAGGCTTCCTGTCCTGTGAGATGGTGACTTCGGTGTAGGACACAGAACGGTTCACTCCACCTGCACAAAACAACCAATCATGGTGACGGCGGGACGGGGTCAAAGTTCAACATTTATCCTATGAAGCTTGTATGCTGTCATCAGATTAAAAATCAAAGTTCATGAATGGTTTCTTGTGTCTCACAGAAGCAATAAAAACTGATAAAGTCACTGAAGCAGGATCTGTTGCAGTTTCATGATTTTATTGCCTTGACAGTAAAAATTTGTCTCTTAAACTAAATTGTTGTTTCTGTGTTGAAAAGTGTATAAAATAAAGTTTAAAGTAGTTTATTACTTGGTTTTGCTTTGGTAGATAAATGTTTTATTAAAATACTTTGTAGCGGATATTTATTTCTCAGTAGGTCTAAAGTGTGTATGATGTCACTAAACCCTTTCACAGAGAAACATTTCAGGTTTTTAATTTATTTTTAATTTAAGTCTCAGTTTGAATCAGTCTCAGCTGACAAAAGTGCTTACACTGCAAAAACACAAAACTCCTAAACATCAAGTATTTCTGTCTAGTTACTACAGCAAATATGTTAACAAAGTTGAACTAAGATAATGACATTTTCCCATATTTTAAGTGAAAACATTTTCCATTGGAACTTTTTTTTTGTCAATATTAAGAAGTTAACAAAAAGCTATGATATCTTGGTGAAAATTTACTTGTATGTTAGTTTTGTCTTATTTAAAGAAGATGAAGATGTTTGCACCAGAAACTGACAAAAATACTTGATAAGATTTTGTGGGTTTTTTTGTTGTTTTTTTTTAAACCCATTTTCAGCTGTGACTAAAAATATAGACTAAAGTATTGCAGATGACTCACACTGAGGGTTAAAGATGGAGTATGACATCATAGTTTACTCACACTGAGGGTTAAAGATGGAGTATGACATCATAGTTTACTCACACTGAGGGTTAAAGATGGAGTATGACATCATAGTTTACTCACACTGAGGGTTAAAGATGGAGTATGACATCATAGTTTACTCACACACAGCGTCGTACCTGTCTATGCATCCTAAGTATTCCAACTATTAAAACTCTTCCATGCAGGTCAATGAGGCATTTCAGTGACATCAGTGTCTTAATTGGCCTCTAAATTGCTGTTAGGTGTGAACCCAGAGTTCATTTTTAGCCTTGAGATAAAATTCCTTTTATAGAAAAGCATCAGACAGTGACAACAGCATCCAGGGAGATGACATGAAAACACACCAAAGCAAGAAATATGTTTCATGTCACTCATCGTTGTGAGGTGGAGCAACACAGAGTTAATAATAACCTCAGATGTTATCAGCAAAGATATGAATACAAAAATATTAAAACCTACGCAGTAAAACCGCCTGCTGCGTCAAAGATGATCACATTTCATGTTTGACATTTAACGCCCTTCGTTCTTTCACCTCCATAATAAAAGACATATTTGACATTTCTTTATTTAGACGTCAGATGGAGCTGCTGTTGTCACGGCACAGACTGAGAAAAAAGAAATCAGCAAGAAGAAAACCTGAATCAAGACAAACAGGAATGAAATGAAACAGGCTGGAACATTAACTGTCACTTTCTGCTCTGTTCAGCACATATGTAATTAAATTTAACCTAGGATGAGACCTCATGCCTCATGTTTTCATTTCCTCAGTGAGAAAATAACATGTTTCTAAAATAAATCACTTCAGAAATGCTGAGGTTCAGTCGGTGCAGACCTTAAATAACCTCATGTGGTTTAAGTTTAACATCAGCATCAACGTTTCCCCTGTTAGTTTATGCTCAGTAAATGACTTGTGGTGGGAACTAAAAGTGACTAAAACAAAAACTAAACAACATTGAAGAGAATCATTTACAATGTGACAATTCATATTGTCTTTAGGTGTTGACTTTTTCAGATTTAGACATTTTATAGCTACATTTAGTTCCAGGAACATCAAGAAAATATAGAAAAAATGACTTCAGACTTTGAGGATGAAATATTTACATCAGTTTTTGATTTAGTGAATTAACACATTGTGAAATTTAAGTTTTAAAATCTCCAATCTCAAACTTTCTGCAAAGCAGCAGAGATGCTTTCATGAACCAAAAGAAAATCAGAGAGTTAAGATTCAAAACGTAGGATTTCTTCCATTTGTTTTCTGTAAACATTAAAAACCTCAAACACTCAAAACCACGTTAACAGTGTTAACAGATAAACCCAGAATGACTCACATCTCTGCCAGATTTACATTTACAAAATGTCATTAAACCGAGAATTTTGACCAGGATGCTAACGGGTTTGGACCTCAAACCTCTCAGCCTTTGAGATCGGACCACTAAGAGTCGTTAACTTTAAGTTAAATGACTCGTTAGAAGCTAAATCAGTCTGAATAATTAGCTGCAGGTCTCAGAGCTTCTCGTTTCACGTAAACTCCTCCGTTTGTTCCCCTCCCTGCTTCTGACACCTGAACACAGAAGCAGCAGGAAGTGAAATTTCTGAGTGTTTACTTGAAAACACACTGACCTTTGTGGTTTCTCCAGTGGCAGAGCAAGATCAGCGCAATCAACAACAAAAGGCCGGCCACAACAGGAAGTAGTACGAATGCAATGGGAGCTGTAGGCGTTTGAGGCCTGCGCCCTTTAAAACACAAAGATAGCAGGTTAGCTGGCCTACATACAAACAATACCAGCATCTCTGCGCAAATGAAGGCGGCAGATAAAACCCACTGCTCTGAACTCCAGAGATCACGTCCTTTTCACATTTATCGATGAAAACAATTTAATTTCTTTCTGTTAAATCATATTTAATGATGATTCAGGTGGTTAATAATCTGGTAATTCAGTTTCTAAATGCAAATTATAAGTCATATCAAGAATCTTTAAATAGTTTTAGAATTTAATTTGCCCCAAATTCAAATCAACTGGATTCACACCAGCCTAAGCTAATTTACTCAAATTATATTAAAGCATTTTATTCATTAGAATCAATCAACACATTTTAGAAAAAGAATAAGAAATAAAAAATTTTACAAATTTACACAAGTCAAGACTGCAATTTTGTGCATATTAATTAAAAAAACAGACTGACTTTTGGCACTATTGTCTTCCATAAATATGTCTCACCTCTTACATCCAGCCAGATTTCTGCTGATTCTCCGACTCCAGAGGCGTTACATCTATAAAATCCTTCATCAGATTTAGAAACGCTCTGGATGGCGAAGGTTCCCGTCGAGCTGTTCCCGACCAGAACCCCGTTTCTATAGAAAGCAGTGAGATTGGAGGATAACGGTGGCCTGAACCTGCAGTGAAGCATCAGGGCTTCTCCTTCATTAACTGGATGTCCAGGACTCTGCAGGATCAGAGGTTCATCTGAGAAACAAAACGTGAAAGAAACGAGTTTTAAATGAGTCAGAAAAAAATCTATGAGCATTTTTATCTCCTGCATATGAAAAAACAAAGAAAGAAAATTACCTAAGTTTGCAGTTCCGGTATTTCCATTAAATAATTAATGTTAATAAAATCAGACCTGAATAAGTTTGTTCACACAATAAGACATTAAAAACGCCACGCCCTCATCATCATACCACTTCCTGTTTTCTTCTTTGTCTTTCCCACCAATAGGAACATCCGGTTGTTGATCACAATTTATGAAAAAAGTTTTCTCACTGCAGCTTTATGAAATATAAAAATTTCTATACGTCTGAAAAACAAACTCAACATGGTGACAAAAACGTTTTCATAGAAAACTCGTCCATTTTGAAAATGCCGTGTTTTATTAAGCTTTTTTTATATATTTCAATTTGCACAATTAGATGATCACAGTCAAGTTTTGACTTTACAGATTCAAGATTTTTCTCTCTATAAACATTTTATAGATTTTCAGCTTTTAGCTTGTTGCTCTGATTACATGAGAATCAACAGAACTCGTCTGAAAGCATCAAATCGGGTCGAAACTCTTCTGATGTTTTATCATGAAATAAATTTGGCGGTAATGTGAGACGGAGACGTTTCAGGAACCAAACTTTTAACTGAAGCTTTTCTGTCTGCCAGACCACAAACAGGTCGGCCTGAATCAGTTACAGCGAAGAATCAGATCAGATCAGCTTCTGCTCACGTTTAACCCACCTGTTATGCTGATGTTGACTGAACCGCTGCGTTCGCCTGCTGCAGATTCACACCAGTAAACTCCAGAGTCAAATTCATACAACTCAGTTAAGTTGCATTTAGATTCATTAGTGTGAGTTAAATATGAGGGACAGAGTCTATTTATTTGTTTGGATGTATTTCTCCAGACTCTCCACTCAGTCGATTTTCCTTCACAGCTCAGAGTGACAGACTCATACCGGAAGAACTGGGATCTGCTGGGGAAAAGCCTCAGACAAACTGCAAAGAGGAGAAAAACCTTCAGAGAGGAAAAGTTTTCACACCGTTTCTGATTGAGTAAAACAGAAAAACAATAAAATATCATTGCTTTATTTTGTCTGCTGCCGTTTTGAAGCATCAGTCAAGTTTTCACAAAATGCTGATTCACATTCATGACAGACTCAACGACTGAAGCTGATATAATCGATTTGATCTGATGCAACAATAACCATCAAAGAGGAAACACCAAAGCAGGAAACTCTCCGATCTTCATGTTTCCCACAAATAAAGAACTCAATTAGCTGAAGATGTTTACATTTTAGTTTTCATTTTAGTTCAGAGAGAGCAAAACATTCAGATCTTAGCATCAGAGAAATGCTGTCTTTAGTTACTTCTAGTTAAAAACTAAAAAATAAAATAAAAATCTAAAAGGTGAGCTTTAGAGTCAATGAACCAGAAGATGAATCGCAGATAAAAGTCTTTAAATTACGTTAAAAATGATCTTTACTCACCAGCAACAGCGCAGAGAGCTGCTATCTCCATCCTGAGCCGCTGCACTGAGGCGCCTCGCCATCGGGGGGTTTCATCATCACACCTCTGATGACTGTGTCAAACACACCACAGCTTCCTGCTAACGCGATCAACTCCAGGTACAAATATGTGAGCATCTTGTTTGTGCAGGAGCTGTGAAAAAAGAAGAGAGAAACGCTGAGAAGCTCAGAAAAGGTCAAACATTTTGGTGCACCAGGCTGCAGGAAGTGGCAGAAAGTGATGTCACTGACGTCTGATGCAACTTACAGCCTGAGGTGAACAGAAGCTTCGTCTGGTGCTGACCCAAACATTTAAACTAAAACTGCTTTAAAAGTTAAATAAGATGTGACGTTTTACCTCAAAATGTTCAGTGATTAATCTATATGCTGCTTTTATTTCTCAAAAGCTTTTAAAGAGCGACGGGGCTCTTTAAAGGCTGACTGTTCAAGTGTCACAATAAACTATGATGTGATATGAAAGTTAATTTACTGCTGTAATTAAATACAAATAGAAATTCACTAAATCAACACAAACTGTTTCATTTTCAACTAATATTTCTACTATGATTACAGCAAAACCCAGTTTGTTTTCAGGAATTATAATAAACCAGAGGATCAATAAAATGCTTTAAACAGAAATATCAACCCACAGAAAATGATCTCGATCAGAACGTGTTCAATGTTTGGCTGTGACTTTCTGTTTCAGAGCAGAGCAACATGGTGGCTTTTGACTCTGCTGAGGTTTTTAGGAAACCATAAAATTATTTATAAAATCCCACTAACTGCACCAAAAGGGAGGAAAAGAACAAGAGACCTGCAGAAATAGGAATGGTAGATTTTGGAGCCTCATTTTAAGCTAAGAAATATCAAATCAACCAAGATTTGATGTCAAATCAGTTCAGTGAAGAGTGTAATATTTAGATGAAATAATGGTGAAGTAAGTGTTATGTTTGGTTCCCAGTAACAATGTTTATAATTAATGGTAATAATCTGTTAATGTTATTAATCTGTTTTATTGTTGTTGTTGCAGCTGGACTCACTGTGATGTCATAACGCTACCAAACCCTGCTCCTCTTCCCCTGCGTTCAGGCTGCGTTCAGGAGCCTGAACGCACCTCAGGTTGCGTTCTTGAGCAGCCTGATGAACAAATTGACCTCAATGAGAAACTTTGGCTCCATTGTAACGGTTGCTCTGCTGTTGTGGATCCGGTGGCTGATCTCCATCCGTCAGGCTAACAGCCTGAAGCTAGCCGCCTGATATAATCTAAAGGCTCTGAAAGAGGCTGACTGATCATGAAGTGGTTTTCCTTCTGCTGTTGAGGAGCACAGCGCTGAAACCACAGCTCTGAGTCTGACACACCGCCAATCCAACCAGAGCGGCGGCCATGTTTGCTCTGATCAGACTCAACCAGTTTACCTGTCAACTGTTATTTATTCAGTTACAGTTTGTTAATTATATTGTTTTGCTTTTCTTGTTGTGCTGAACTGTGTGAGTGAATAAAGCTGGAGAGTCGAATTGTTTAGAGTTTTACTTTAAAATTGTGACTAACTTTGGTTGAAAAGTGAGGATTCAGTAATGTGAGTGTGTTTGTTTTATTTCTGGTTTTCCTTCATTTTTATCAATAATAAAAATATATCTGGACAGACTTTAAACTTATTGCAGCGCCTCCTTGTTGGTGACCATAAGTCCATTAAATCAGCTACTGACCACAACATTATTAACTTGTCCAAATGGTAGGTCAATGTTTCTTATTCAGTAAATTATTTCTGAAACATTTTATTAATATAGTGTTTCATTTTCTCTTCTGCTTTCTGAACTGGGTTTTCAAACTCCTACCATTTGATCTTAGTGGTTTCAAAGATGCCTCATTAACCAATTCTCAAATCAAACCTTGGTTTCTTTTTTACCTTTATTTTTTCATGATTTATTAGTTTTTATTATTCTCTTCTCTACTTTAATAGCTTAGTTTTTGTTTGCCTGGTTAAAGAGTTTGTTGACTGAAGTATTGAGATATTTTTTATATATACAGTATATAAATTCTGATATATTGGAGAGAAATTGTTATTTTTCATATGTGTAGGTGACTTCAAACAAGTCATGTGGTTAAAAACACGTGGAGACTTTCGCTTCTGTAGAGACTCCAGGGAATCACTTGTGACGTCATAGCTGACGGGGAGATACCATGACTAACTGGGAGTGGCTGGGTTTCCAACAGACACTCCAGATAAATATTAATATCTCTCAGTGTCACGCTGTCGCTCTCTGTTTACATTTTTGTTTTTCCTGTTTATGGAAAACAAACATTCACCGGGACTTCTGTCTGACATCGTTTGGTGTTTGAGCTTTAAGTGACATTTAAATCACGATGCAGACATTTAAATCTCCTTTACGAGAAGCAGAGTGAAACTTTAGATTCTTAAAGTCATAACAAATACAAACAGCTCAGCACTGTTGTTAACTAAAATGCTCAAACTATAAGTTGATAAAACTTTCCTCCTGAGTCTGTCTGTCCTGAACAGTAATCTAGAAACAAGTGGTCAGATCTTACCTTCATGCTGTAAAACACCAAATAAACCACAGAGAGGGAAGTAGGTGTGTCCCAGCACCAACAGCAACGCCTCTGTGATAACCCTGTTCTGATTGGCTGAAACCAACCAAAACAGAAACTCCAGGATATTATCTCAAATTTGTTTTTTGTTTTTCCATTCTGGGAAAAAATACCCAAATTAAACAGAAAACCAGAGTAATATGTTTTTGTTTTTGTTTCTTTGCTTTTGGTTTTTTTCTTGTTTTCCCCCAAAATCTCCATTTAAGTTGATAAACACACATGTAAAGAATCTCTAACGGGAATAGAGGAAAAAACATCAAACAAAAATATAAAATCAAAAATAAAAGAAGAAAGACACAAACAGGAAAATAAATAAATCTCCCAACAATGTAGAAACAATTCAACCAATAATAGATTGAAAGCTAAATCTAACATGAACCTATGATAAATAAAATAAACATTATCTTCTTTCTATATTTGTTATGTAAACCTGCAGCATCATGTAATAAATCAGCTGGATACAATTGAACTTTGCTATTAGTAATAATAACCTGATAAATAATAAATGTTATTTATTTAGCTGTAAAGCACTACAAACTATAGAGCAGCTTAACAACCTGAAGTTGATAAAAACTCCGAGTTGTCTCAGTCCTTCGCTCCAGAGCTGCTACGTCATGAAGTCCCAGGCTCTGTCGAGGCTCTGATTGGCTGTTGCTCTATGACTAATCGCGGTTTGTATTGTTGTGTTGCTATGGTTCCGTAGCTCCGCCCATTACGTATAAACGGTAACCGTGAGTTGTTTCCTTCTCAGTTCAGTGAAGCTCCGGTTCGGCAGAGGAAGTGTCAACATTTCTGTTGTAATGTCGGTACCAGTTGGTCTCTGTGAGATTTTCTTCAGCCGTTCAGGATTTTGGACTTTTCTCTTCTTCGTGGTTCTGCTCTGGACGCCTGTTAAAGGTAAAAGCTGCTGCTTTTCTCCTCAACTTACGTTAAACTGTTACTAAGCAACGAGGAAGCGTCTCCATTCAAACTTTCATTCATTGATTCTTTAAACAGCGAACAATGAATGACTCAGCTGTTTCTAGACGGTCTGTCCGTCTCTGTTTTATTTTTAAGTAACTTATTTGTGTCTTTGTTTTCCTCTGACCTCATTCTGCTGTTTATACTTATATTATTAAACAGAAAACTCACGGACTCTGAACTACTACATTGACCGTCATGCACTGCGACGTCCTGACGGTTCAAATTGTTTCACGTTGGTTGATTAAAAGTCTTCAAATCTGAAGATAAAGAAAAACTTCATAAACTTTGTTAGAGATTAAGAAAACTTTAAAAAATCCGCTATTTTTGATATTAAATCGTTTCCGCCGGTTGTCCGATAAAAATGGTTCTGACTTTTATTTGTAAGTGATGCTTTCCATTATTTAATGATTACTATTGATATTAAATAATCAATAATAAATACTGATAGCACATGTCAGTGCCATCAGCATGTCAACATGTGCTGACTCACCTGCTGACTCACCATATCAGCTGATTGCTGATATCAATCAGCTGATGCATAATTAATTAATTATGCATAATTAATTAATGGATAATTAATTATGCATTAATTATTGATAACAGCAATAATTAATGCATATAGAGCTTAGTCAAAGTCATAAGTGGGTGTGACATCATGTCTTAAATGAAAATGAAATAATCTATCCAATTTATTTTCATTCTTTTTGCTCTCTCTCTCTTTGTTTTTGTTTTTTTTTTTTTTTAAGAAATTGCAAATGACAGAAAATATTTTTCAGTTGGACCACAATGTATTAGCATCTGGTTACAAGAATCATTCTCTAATTATGAGAATATAGATTTAATATTAGAATAATTAAAATGTAAGTTTTACCAGAACATCTTAAAATTGTGAGAACTCGTGTTGGAGTTCTAATAAAATCTCCTAATATTACCATTTTATTTTGGTAATATTAAAAATAAAATACTAACATTTTATTTTTAATAAATCCATTCTATTGTCAAATAACTTTATTCTCGTATTATGACAACTGTATTTTTTAATATTATGGCTTCTTCAGATTTACTGTAATACAGACCACAATAAGAGATTCTTCCTTCCAGGATCCATCACAATCTTCAATAACTCCTTCTAGAATATGAAGTGATGAGTTACAACATTTAGTTTTCCCTTGGGATCAATAAAATATTTTTGAATTATTTCTTTATTCTAGTATAAAAGAGAAAAAAATCTTTATAACAGTTCTGGGTGCTGACATCACACTGAACAATGGAAACGTTCGGAGTGAGTTGGTGGGATGAGGGAGTCCAAATTTACCAAAATGTAAATGTAAAAACCCAATCGCTTTTTAACTGATAAAATGGATGGAAAACTTGGGCTTTTAGCTCAGGGAAAATATTCAAATTAAAAGCAAAGCTTTAGAGGAGGAGCTACTGGAGAACAGAATTAATTCAATGATTTAAATGACAAAATAATTAAAATGATTGTTGATTCAGGTAAGAGCAAATGGAGCTTAACGATTTCGCTTGGATAAAAAGCGAAATCGTTTTTATCGGAAATCGGAATCTGCCAGAAAATTTTCTGGCAGATTCCAGAAAATTCCAGATTTTCTGGCAGATTCCCCTAAAAGCTGCTTATGTTACAAACTTCCTGGAGAAAACCTGGTGGAAACCTGATCCTCCACAGGTGGATCATGTTTCTTTCTGTGGGGATTTCCACTCTTGGGGGAACTACTCTGAAGTTTCAGGGATTTGCTTTAATCTCATGATCATGTTTATGAAACCTAATAAAATCTTCCCTGTGTCTCCAGGGAGCCTCCGTCTGATTGGTTCCTCTCAGCCAATCGTAGCTGCGCCTGGAGATGATGTCATCCTCCCGTGTCGTGTGGATCCTGAGTGGGACGCCGTGGGGATGACGGTGGAGTGGTCCCGACCGGACCTGAGGCCGTCCGGCCCTCAGAAGCGTGTGGAGTACGTGTTCGTGTACCGCTTCAGGAAGACGGACCGAGACATGATGATGGACACGTACATCCAGCGGACGTCTCTGTCCCAGGACGGCCTGCGGCGAGGAGACTTGTCTCTGACCATCCGGAACGTCAGCCTGCAGGACCACGGCAGGTTCCGGTGTTTCATCCCACGCCTCGGGATCGAAGCAGAACTTCTGCTTGTTGTTGGTGAGGAACGGGTCCAAACTGCAGGTTCTGATCTGGATCTGTTGGAGTTTTTCTCATAAATCCTGGTATTGTTGCTGCTTCAGATCCAAACGTTGTTTCTACAACGGCAACAGAGACGGTTCTTCCCAGAAGCCTCATCATCACTCCGACGCCACAGGAGGAGGAAACCAGCAGCAACGGTGAGTCTGCAGGTCCAAACTCTGATGCTGCAGGTTCTGAGAATAAACGAAGTTTTACTTTGTTCTGACATTTTTCTTCTTTTATTTCAGGTCGTCGGTCGAGGCTGTTTCTTATTTTCCCCTTTATTTTCTTCATCATTTCTCTGAGTTTAATTTTCATCTTCAGCTTGAAAAATTGCTCCAAAAACTCAAAGTAAGTCAGAAATAATTAAACTACATCAGAGCTTCTTTCTCATAATCATCATCAGATTAATAAGAAAATAATAAACCTGTTTCAGATTTCAAGAGAACCTGCAGAGAGCCTCTGCCTTGCAGTTTGGATGCCTTGCTCAAGAGCAGACCTGTGTTGATGTGGAGCAGAACTCAATGATTCCTGATGAACCGCGGCGTCATGAAAACTGTGGAGGTTGAGTCGATCAATCTGAGACTATCGATGAAACCAGGTGAGTCTGACTCATCAGTGGTCACATGATGATGTCACCATGATGTCATATGATAGTGGAGGCAGCAGGTGATGCTCTAATAAAATGCTCTTTGTTTGACTCTGAACTTTTTCTTTTGTTCTCCTGAAGGTTCTTCATAAAGCAGCTCACAGACTCTGCAGGAATCCCACAAACTTTCTGATAAACATGAGAAATGTTCTGGGTTGATCCAGCAGAAGCTCGTCTGCTGTTGGATGAACTGTGCAGAGCAGCTCTGCCATCGTCTGTCTGAGCCGTCTGAGCCGCAGCATCAGAGCCGCAGCATCAGAGCCGCAGCATCAGAGCCGCAGCATCAGAGCCGCACCGCTAAAGCCCGATGAAGAGGTTCTGATCTGGAGATGATTGAATTACTGATAAAATCAGAAACATTATGGACAATCCTGACCATCCTCTTTATGACACTGTCTTGGGAAGGCAGA